CATCTTATCACCAGCAAACTGGTTCGTCCACAATGTGAGTGTGCTGCTTGTGGAACTGAGTTTGTTGTGGCTTCTTGGACTGATGAAGTCCTTTCGATGAAAGACGAAACATCTCAAAAAAAAAAAAAAGCCTCCAGACGACCTGACTGAATTTTGTTGGATTTTTTTTAACCTGGATTATTGAGCATGAACTTTGATGTTTTGAACCACTTTGGCTGTGGCTGCGTGAGAGTCAACGGGAGAGAGGGCAGGCTCCAGAAACCATCTTATCACCAGCAAACTGGTGGGTCCACAATGTGAGTGTGCTGCTTGTGGGACTGAGTTTTTGTTTCCTCGGACTGATGAAGTCCTTTGGATGAAGAACGAAACTTGATGAAACGTCTCAACAACAACAAAAAAGAAACCGTCCTGACTGAACTTTGTTGGGACTTTGGTAAAAAATTATTCCACGGAGTTCACAACAGGAATCAATTGCCTAACGTTGCAAAACAAGTATATTGAACACACATCAGGTTTTATTGTTTTCGTCTGCTCGCTGTTCTTCGCTTGTAGCTCTGTGGTGTGGGGATCGTTAGGGGCTCAGTCTTCAGGTTGCCTAGGCTCTGCCACCATGCACTCCTGAGCAAAATTAGTCGTTAATGCAGTTCAAAATGCCACCGCCCCCCCACGTTGCTTTTATTAAACTGTTTCCCAAAACAGAGATCACACCAGACGTGTGTTTTTCTTTTCCGCAACAGATTATTCAGACTTTATGAATGACGTGGTTACAGAGCTCTTACCATAACAGGCCCCTGAGACTTAGAGGTGTGAGCTCTTTTACTGTAAACACCTTTTACAATTACAAATTACCAGCGTAACTTACCCTAATACATCTGGATTGGAGATATATAAATATATATTTAAACTAATGATCATTCAAACTGATCAAATCTCATAAATCTCATGTCAAAATAAGCTTTTCATATACTACTGGTTCTAGGGTTAACTGATTCCCCCAGAGCAATCATGGATATAGTTCCAGCTGTCATGAATCAGAAGGAAAATTTAATTAAAGAATGAATAATTGTGCAGCCCATTCATTCACAGTTTTAATCAAAACGCCCTCGCTAATGATAAAAACGAGAGCGCAGTATTATATCTGTAATGTTATCTGGACGTGATATATTAGTTTGACCTGGCAGGGCTGGACAGCATGAAGCTAAAACAAATAAAGCTGTTATCACATATTTATTATTTTTTTTACAAAAAAAAAAAAAATTCTAAACAGTTTATTTAAAAAGTACTTTCTTATTCTGAAGAGAGGAAATGTTTGTTTTATCCGTACTTATGTCTTTAAGATGTTATCAGCGTAATTTGGTTGCTAAACATTACGTCACTCTTATGAAATGAACGGAAATTGCTGCTGTTGCTGGACTGTGTGATGATTGGGAGGAGAAAAATATGCTCTTATCAGTTTAGTCTTAATGGCAGAAAAAAAGGCTGAAATATGCAATTCTGCCTTTTTTTTGTGCTGTCAGTACATAAAACAGTTTTCTCTCTATAACAGTGTGTACTGTGTTTTTATAATGGTTAATGTGGGCTAAAAGGGTCAACATGACAGTACTGGCAGGCCACAATAATTAGATTTTCAGATAAAGAAAAGTGTACTTATATCTTTTTTATTCTCATCAACAATGTGAATGATATCTTTGCGAAAGGTCAAAATTTATTAAATTTGGTGGAAAAGGAGATCTAAATGGTTGTGGAAACATAACATTAAAAGATTAATAAACTTTTTTTTTTTGCAAAATGATTTATTTGATTTGTTGAACAGGGAATGCAAGAAAACCTGAGCATTTTTACTGTAAGATATTGAAGTGGTTTAGAGTTAAACTGTGTATAAGAACAGAGTTTTATTTATATATTTGTTTGCTCTTCTGAGGCGACACCAACAGACGGATTCTGGCGAGTGGCGGGAGTAATTTTATCCATAACCAAGAGCAATGGTGGAGCCAGGGGGTGGCCATTGGTGACCTTGGCCACCAAAGATTAATCTTCAGCCACCCCAATGAATTGAGGAAAAATTATACTTTTAAGTAAAAACTAGAAAGCATAGTTTCCTCAAATGACAGAGGTGGTAGGTGAGTGTGTATATGTATATATGTGTGTG